TTGTTGTGCGCCGCCGTCTGAATTGGCTGCCTTTTTGTCGCTCTCTGCAATTCGTGTCAATGTCAGCATGATCGTTTTTTTTTTTGTTCGTATTATTTATTTCTTTATTAAATTATTGCTTTTTGTTGTTGTTGTTGTCGTTGTTGTTTTGTTGCACACACTGCAGGCTGGCGGGTAAGGGGGGCGTGGCATGTAATGCGCTCGGCAAACGAGTTTGAAGCAACAACAACAACAACAACAAATATGCATAATAGCAACAACAGTAACAACTGCAGCAAGCAGTGCAGGCAAGCAGTGAGCAAAAGACTTAGGCGACAAACTTGAAGCTGACAGCAAGTGCAGCAAAGAAAACTAATTCAAAACTAATTTATATATTTCAAATGGCTAAAATGCTTAGGAAAAAAAGCTGATAAACAACACATGGAAATGATGAGATTTTTATTTTGTTTTTGCTGTGATATAGTGATAAGCAATGTATGCCAACACCAACAACAAGAAGAAGAGCGGCTGCGGCTGCTGCTTCTTTTGCTTTGGTGCCCGGGCTCCGTTAACAGTTTCACTTGAGGCGCGTGAAAGTTGTGCTTCATAACAAAAAACAAAAAAAAAAACAAAATTAAAAAAAAAACGACAACCTACACACACACACACACACACACAGAGAGAGAGACGCCGCCACAATTGAAAGACAAAAGTACAAAAAAGGGCAGGCCAAAGCCGCAAACACAAACAACCAACAAAAAAAAAGTATAAATTAAAAAAAAAAAACATAAACATAAACAAAACAAACAAACCAAAACACAAGCTGCAATTACGCACTTTTTTTCACTGCCTTTGGTCAAACTATTTTCGAAAACTTGCGCAAAGCATAAACCGACAACAACAACAAATATCTTTAGATGCAGCGCATAAAACGCAAACGTTGCAAATTGGCCGCAAGAAAAACCGTCAGAAAACAGAAAAAAAAAACACAACAAAATATACAGACACACACACACGAAATGCCGACTTGAACCGCAACGCGCCGCGGCTGAAGATCAACTGAAACGTCGATCGAAGCCGAAACGAAGCCGAAACGCGTTGCGCGATTCGCGCAAAACCCGAAACAGCAGCCAGCAAGTGCGAACAGTGCTGCCGTTTTAGCTATTTTCCAGCCAAACGTGGCTCTGTCAGACGACAACTGCTTTAACTGGCTGTTGTTTGCATTTCTGGCTAATTTTAAAGCTGTTTGGCTACTTTTCTTCTCGTTAGCTATTTCTTAAGCTTTTGACTTGTGACTGTTTTTCATTAGCTCATATATATTTTTCTTATAGCTTATTTTATAGCTGCATATTTTTAATATATTATTTTCAATATTTTTTTTAGCTATTTCCTTCACAACGGAAAGGGACTTATTTATGCATGTAAGTCTCATATTTACTGTTATTCTTACTGTTTTTATTTTGTTGGCATTTTTGGCTAGATTTAGCTATTTATTATAGGTTTACAATAGAACGGTACCTATTTAGCAGTGTGTATTTGATAATATTTTTATTTTTTTTTTTTGGATGCCTTGTTTTTGCAATTAAGCCGCGTGTATTAACTGTTTATTTTTTAGCTATTATTTTTTTGATTTTTTTTTTTGGCTGTTTTGAAAACTCTTTAACACAAGATAGACTTATGTCGAAAACTTTTTGGTACACAAACGAATGGGAGTTATTTTATCGCGTGTATCAACTGTTTATTTATTTATCGGGTTTGCTTTTGCAATTTTGGCTGCCCTAATTTAGCTTTTTTTAATTAGTTTCTAGCCATTTGGAATCTACTTGCTTTAGATATTTTTATATTGATAGCTATTTCGAAAACTATTTGGTACACACCAGAATGGGACTAATTGTAGCTCTTTTTATTCTTGTTCAAATGAACGAGTGAACTTTCTCAAAAGCCTTAAAGAAAACTACGCAGAAAGAAAAGGCAGCTAATTTTCTCTTTATTAGCTCACATTCTAGCCGGCCAATCTAATTCAGCTAGTTTTAGCTATTTGTCGCATTCGATTCAGCTAGTTTTTTGAAGAGCAACAGCTGGCAACACTGGCGGCAGCAAGCCACGGCAAGCAGTCGTGCCTGTCGCTGCAAGTCGCAGCGCTGCCAGACTGTCCGCAGACGTCGTCGCCATTCGCAGCACGTACGATTGCAAAAAGCCAAGAGGAGAAATAATATACTACATGCATATAAAAAAAAGTTGAATGTAAATATAAAAAACTAAAGCGTATTGCCACAGCCGACGTTCGTTTCGGCTGTGCATTGGCTGCATTTAGGGCCCAAATGTCCAACTGGCCTAAAAAACTGGCTCGAACCGAGATCGAAGCACGCGCCGCTCCGTTGCGCACAGAAAGTTCTAATTTGACCCACTTTGATGCCGGCTCGCAAATGTTAACACGCTCCACAAAAAAGAGTAGTAAAAGTGCTCCAGTCGAAAGTGCCCGACTAGCGGATACCCTGTATCTCTCTCTCTCTCTCTCTCACTTCTCTCTTCAGAAGCAGTTTAACACTGCTTCCTGCCTTAAGCCTATACACTATAAACATGCTACATATGGGAAATGCATGCTAGATCGGTGCTTAGAATCCGATGTTAATCACATTTTCGGTGCATCATGTGGCATACAAGAGACCATGTATACCAAAGCGCAAGGCTCAAGCTTTGCAAATGCTTTTTTTTTCATTTAGTTTTTAAAGGCGAAAGGTATCCAAAAGATGGGAAACTCCACATGTGTGTATGCTATCGGAGCACTTAACAACAAAGTTTGGCGCATCCAGCTCTTATAACTTTTGTAATATGCTCAAAGAACCACGTCTCCAAATCGATTTTTATCGATTTTATGTGAGAAATTTCCTTCCAGCTGCAGCCAAACACGCGCCGCTGACTTCCTTTTGCCTTTTTACATATATGTGCATATTAGCACATGAACCAATATACCCTTTTATCTTATGTTTTTTCAATGGGTATTGCGCACAAAAATGATTCATGTACCTCGTTGAGCAGGCCAGCCATCTATCTGTCTCGCTCTAAACCATAAAATATCAAAATATCAGAACATTTACCGGTGACACTTGCCACGGGCATTTTTTAGAGACTTCCTTAAAAGCTAAAGCCAATAAATTTGTTTCTTTTCGAGGTTTTTTGTATTTTAAAGTTCTGTAAATCAATCCCAAATAAGATACCTACTCTCTATACAAGTTGAACTAGTTATGGTAACTGTAAGGCTAGCATACTTTTGGGCTTGATCTTTATGCATATATATATATCTATATATATATATATATATATATATATATATATATATATATATCTTTGATCATGTTTGGCAATAATGTGCACACCAATCTGACTCGTGCTCAATCCAGTCACAGCTCTCATTTGTGGCATTTGCCACGCCCCCTGGTACCATGGCTAAAACATGTTTGCAACGTACTTGATTAAAAAAAAAACCCAAATTCACATTAACTCAAAAATTTTAATAGACATAGATATTTCCCAATATGGCAAAGTATTGCAGTTACCAACCTAAGAGCTAAGCGTAGACTGCATTTCAAATGTAGCTTTGGTAAATCAAATATTTATCTAGCTGTGATCTGAACACCAGAAGGGACATACATACATATATTCCCAGTTCCGGGTCGTTGACAAAAAGTTGCCCGAATGCAATTTCTCATGCAAGAGATATAGATTTAACCGATATGCCACGCCCCTTATGCGCTTAGCCATCCAATCCCAGCACTATATCTGTCCAGAAAACTAATCGAAGTTCATGTTCGAGACAGTTCGCACAGTCAGTTGAATAAATGGATGGATAGTATACATATTAACGTATATATCAATATGTATATATGCATATATTAACTCCACCTTCGATACAGTATCATATTTTGGCATGCTCCATTCGAGCGATTCGGTACATATTTTCAAATTTGTTGTCACTTTGCAACACTTCAATTACAGCTGTCCCGCTCTAACATCATTTAGAAGATAGTTTCTCAACACACACACAACCTAGACGGAAACTCTGTAAGCCCTTAACTAACATTATTTCTCGAAATTTGAAAAACAGGCAATATTCAGAAATCAGAAATATTAAAAACCAATGTGCAAATATCGTAAAAAACATTTTAAGTACATCTTAAGTTTAAATAAAGCTTTCTTAAAGTTCACAAATATTTAAATAAATAATTGTCTGAACTACTGAATTGAATTAAAATCCTTATCCATTCGTAATACATTTATTTAACAATTTTAATTTCTAAGCATAATCAAAAAAGAAAAAAAAAATTATGTTTATATATATATAAATATATATATGAAAGGCCCGAGACGTGCAAAACGAAAATAGTTGAAAAGTCTATGAAAATGAGTTTAAGGCGAATTACAGATTCGAATGTTTAATTTTGAACAGGGCATCCCACAGTCGAGCCACACTGAATTTCTAGATGCTTATCAATTTCAAATATCGTTTAATTTTTTGTTGCTTTTTGATCGGTTACATTTAAAAATAGTTTGCCTGTTGCCTGTTTAACTGGCCAATTGGCCAACTGCGGCTGTCCGTCCGTCCGTCCATCTGTCTGTCTGTCTGTGGCTGATGGGGCTCATGTGGGCAGGTGTCCAGGTGTGAAGGCAGCATTGAATGTGGCATCCACTCGCAGGTTTACAAACATTCGCACATACACACACACACACACACACGGTCGCAGTCTGTGTAACATGCATAAATTACAATTGGTTTCATTTCGGGTTTTAGCTTAACATTAAGTGTATAAAAAAATACATCGACTACTTTTTCTCTTCATTTCGTGATTACAACAGCAGCAGCAGCAGCAGCAGCCGCCACAAGGGGGCGGCAAAACTTGATAAACTATTTTAACCATATATATAGACGAACGATCTGCACCCACATATACATAGCGGTTGTGTGTGTGTGTGTACAATATGTGGTAAAAGAAAAAGCAGAACTGAAAACATTTGTATATATATAATATATTATTATATATATATAGAGTGTACGTTAGTGTGTGTGTGTGTGTGTATGGATCCATAGATCCAGGGGCGTGTTTATCGTTTTATGCAATAGGCAACAATTAAGAATTAGCTGATGGGTGGTAGACTTAATGGCGGCGGTATCATTAGCTTTTGCGGCTTAGCCCTCCTGGCCGAAGTCCTCTGTGAACTTGCGCAGCTTTATCAAATCCTCCTCGTTGACAGTCGGTTTCGTGCGTGACAAGGACTTGAGCATGTCGCGCTATAAAAATACAAGTAAAAGGTTTTTTTAAGGCCGTCTCTGACAGTTGGGTCTTGGGATTACGATTACCCACCATGGTGACTGGCGGCTCGAAGAGCTTATCGCTGGGCACGTCCATCCAATTCATTTCAACGGCGCCCGGATCACCCGGCGAGCAGGCCACCAGCAGATCATCGACAATCTTCTCCTTGTCGGCCGGACTGGGACCCGAGACGCGCTTAAAGTGTGTGGCTGTTTGTACCTTGCGTACCGGCTCCATCAGCGCATCGCGCACCACAATCGATATATCGGCGCCAGAGTAACTGTATTGCATTGAATGGAATGAAGATGGATTAGTTCGTGATTGGCATTTGGGTGCTGTGCACACAAGCTCACCCCTCGGTCTTGCTGGCGAGCTCCTTGAGATCCTGCTCGGTCAGCACATGGGTGGTGTTGCCCAGGTGGATTTTGAACATGACGAGGCGCGCATGCGCTTCCGGCAACGGAATGTAGATGCGCTTCTCGAAACGCCTGCGTATGGCCGAGTCGAGCACCCAGGGTATATTGGTGGCGCCCAGTACGAGAATGCCATCGGTATCGTTGCCAACGCCCTGCATTTGCACCAGAAACTCGGTCTTGATGCGGCGCACGCTGTCGTTCTCATTGTCCGAACGGGCCGAGCACATGGAATCAATCTCATCAATGAATATAATCGATGGCTTGTGCTGGCGCGCCAGTTCGAAGAGATTCTTCACTAGCTTCTCGGATTCGCCCAGCCATTTGGACATTAGATCGGAGCTAGATACCGAAAAGAATGTGGATCTGTTTGCCTCGGTGGCGACCGCCTTGGCCAAATATGATTTGCCCGTACCGGGTGGCCCAAACAGTAGAATACCTTTCCAGGGTATGCGCTTGCCGGTGAACAGCTGCGGAAACTTAATCGGCAAGATGACAGCCTCTTTGAGTGCCTCCTTGGCGGCATCGAGGCCAGCCACATCGGACCATTGTACGCACGGCTTTTCAATAACAATGGCACCCTCCAGTTTGGCTTGCAGCTTCTTTTTCTCTGGATCATCGCCGTCCTCGTCGTCGCTGTCGCTCTTCTTGTCCTTGTCATCCTTGGAGCTGCTCTCGCCGCCCTCCTTAATCGGTTTTTTCTTGCCCTTCTTCAGATACTCCTTTAGCTTCTCTGCGCGATCCAAGTACTGTAGACATTTTGCACGTATCGAGTCCTTGGCCTTCTCGCCCTGTGCCTCATCTGAAAGAGTTACAATTACCTAACTTGCTTTTCGTGTGGGGTTGGCTGGGGAGGGGGAAAGGCGTGTGTTCTTTACTTACATTTGATTGTATGCAAGAAATACTCGACGCCGTGCTCATAGAGACGCAGCGCCTCTGCGTAGTTCTTGTTGCGATCCTCCTCGGTGGCCTTTGTCACCAGATCGATGGCCTTTTGCAGTGTTGTGCCGGCTGCCATGGATGTGCTTCTTCTTCTTCTTCTGTCTGTCTGTTCTGTGTGTGTGTGTGTGTGTGTGTGTGTGTGTTTGTTTGCGGCTGCTGCAAAGACGCGAATGTTAAATTAGTTGCCAGTGACGTCACGTTCCCCCAGACACACGCAATTTATCGATTTAATCGATCAACAACAAAACAACAGCACCAAAACGCGTATCCTTTACACGCGCACATTCACAAAACAATAAAACAAAAGTCTATTCCAAATTTGTGTATGACTAATGCAGGCAGCGACAGCAGCAGCAACGGCAGCATTGACAAAAACAAAGTGCATGACGAACACGAAGGCGAAGAGGAGCGAGCGTTTGGTTGCGTTTTTTTTTCTCTCTTCTCTTTTTTTTTTTGTTATTTTGTTGCGCATTACTCACTTGTTTATTGTTTGGTTTGCTCGTTGGGCCTGTTGGTTGTTGCAGGTTCGCTGTGTTGGCTACTTATGTTGCTGTCGACGAGCGCAGCACGCGCCAATTCAACAAAAAAAAAATAAATAAGGAATTTCGAGGAATTTATACGGAATGACGAAGTCGTCGTCAATATGAATATGATAGAGCATATGTGTGCGTGTGTGTGTGTGGGAGCGAGAATTATCGATAGCCCGTGGCGGCCGTACGATAGACGGTTTAATGTTAAAGTTAACAGTTCGCAACAGCAAGTGTTCAAACTGAGACATGAAGATCTCTTGCTGCCGGTCCAATCAATTGTTTTTTTTTTTTTTTTGTTTTAAAACAATCGTTCATTCAATTTAAAAAAGTTCCAATATATGACATTCGTAGCGCTGCCTACGCTGTTTTCTTTATGGCGCGGCTTTGAGCAAACGACGTAAATTGCGCAATGTAAGTCTAACATGAATTCTTAACATTAACAGTGCATTTTATCGAAATCTGTTACACGGGCGGTGTTTTTGTTTCGTTTAGTTTTCGTACGTGAAGTCAAACATTGGCCGTTTTTTTTTTTGTTTTTTTATTTATTTTTTGCCTAGCAGTTTGACACAAGACACAGATTTGAATTTTGTATACTTAAATTAATATCAACATAAGTGTATATGCTCAGATAGACAAAAGTTAATTGTTTAAATACGTGCAATAGTTTTTGAAAATTAATGTTTGATGTGAGCTTGACACGCGATATTTATTTTGTTGATTCATCGTTATTGAAAATCTATTGTCTGCTCATGCCGAATTCTTAACGATAGCTTACAGTTATTAGAAACTCATCTCAAAGAATTTACTCAAATGGCACGGTTAGAAACGTTTGAGTTCAACATTATTAATTTTGAATGTATACTCACTTTTAGCAGGGAAATCCGAACGATTGTGCAAAACATAGCATAGACATAGCAAAAAAAAAAAAAACACAACTGTTTGGTCCAACCATCGGAAATTAAATTAAGCATTTACCAACATTTTAAGTCATTTTAAGTCTAATAATATTTTTCAAACATGACAAGAGCTGGTTAATGCTGCTGCATATGCCACCAGCTGGTTTCTAGTGCTGGAAAATACTGTTATTCAAATTTAAGAATTCGCGCTATGCCACAAGGAAATATTAAACATTACACTTTGCATCTGAAGAAAACAAAAACAATGTAAAATTATTTGGCAGTTAAATTGAAAAGAACGTATTGCTTTGTCCATTCCACACTAGTATATGCGTTTGAAAACTGTTATATACGCGCCAGCATGGGGCAGCACTGTTTAAGGACTCTCAGCGTTAATAACAGAGTCCTTCTCTTAGAAGCGCTTTGTAAAAGTTACTCTCCGGAGAGTACATGACTGTTAAGCGAACATTAACAGTGTCGCTTAAGCGACAACAGATGTAATTATCCTCTAACAGCTGTAATTGACGACATTCTCAATTCCGCTTGCGTCCTTAAAAAAATTGATTGCATTTTATTTTGATAAAATGGCCTAAAATGCAGGCAAATTATAAACAATTACATTGAGAACTCAATATTCAACTAAAACACAAGTAAATGTTAAACGATTAAGCAACGGTTCGTCTGCAAATGGCATTGAATGCAATGCATACCACTGTGCGCTGCCGTAAACGAGAACACGGCCGATAAACAAGCATTCTGATTGGGTTTGTTGTCCATGCGTTCTCATTGCCAGTTTGACGGCATAAGAGTTAACGTCAGTAGGCAGCAAGACGTAAACGAAAATGGTTGTGTTTTTGTTGTTACGTGAACGTTGATTTATTTATGCATAATAATAATAATTTTTTTTGCGTTTTTTTTTGTGTGTTCGTGTGCGAAACAACAATCGTAACAACTATTAAAAAAATTTAAGTAAAATAAATAAATATTATTGATGTACGTATGTATGTGCAAAGTGTTCGGCAATGTTTATAGAAAATTACAAAAGATAATTAAATACGACAACAACAACAACAACAACAACAACAAAGCGCAGCCAATGCGGCTTTCGGCGTGAGAACAATACAATGTAAATATATAAGATATATTTTTGTCGGCATTTTGTTGTAATTACATTTAACATGCTCGTTCTTGTTATGATTTTCCGTTATATCTTCTCTTCCTTTCTCTTTACTGCTCTTCTCTTGTCGTTTGTTTTTGTTTGTTTTTTCGCGGTGTTGTTGCTGTTTAGCATTTGGGCACTCCAATTAAGATTTGTGCAGTTTGGGCAATTCCAATAAGCATTTGTGCTGGTGTTGATGCGCTTATAAGAATGTCAAATATAACAAAGTGGTGCAAAATAATACGATAAAAAAAAATTTACCTAGCAAGAAGCAGAAAAAGCCGCAACGCTGACGTTGACATCCACACACAGAGCAAGAGAGAGATAGGGAGATAGGGTGTGTGTGTGTGTGTGTTATGTGAATGCAAGAGCGTAAGGCGTGTGTGTGTCTGTGTTAGTGTGTGTGTGTGTGGTAGAACGTGGTAGCTGCCAGCAGCCTAATAAGAATAAGTTAACAAACTGACGACGTGTGTTCAGGTTCGTGAAGCGTGTTGTCGTTGGCTGGAGGGGGGTCGGGCTTGGACGGAAGCAGGACGCGCGCGCGCGCGCGCACTCTCTCTCTCTTTGTCTTTGGCGCGTTCACATGCTTTTGGCTCTCACGCTTCGCTCTCTTGGGCTCTGTTACTCGCTGACATTCATTGATTTTTCCACTTTGTCATAGTGGTCACGAGATGTTGGGTAAGGGGAGCGAGTGCGGGAAGTGAGTGTATAGTGTGTGAGTGTGTGTGGGGGGAAGGCGACCAAGGAGAATTGCGGAATAGCCTGGCATGTGAGCGAACAAGCTAGAGAGAGACGCAACGAAAAGGAAAACAAAGGAAAAAACGTAACCATGTGTACGCGTGTGTGTGTGCGTGTGCAATTAACAATTCGTTGTTATTCGAGGTTATGTTAGGCCAAAGTGTAAATAACTGGGCCCGCAGCACAAAGAATTTGAGTAATTTGTTGTTGCCGCTGCTTGCGCAATGTGACTAAAAACTACATATTATATTTTTAAATATTATTATTGTCCAAAAAAGCGCTTGCGAAGCAACCACCGAAACAGAACGAGGAGAACAACCGCCGCTTTTGGCCACCACCGACAACAACAACAACAACAACAACAACAACAACAGCAGCAGCAGCAGCAGCAACAAAAACGAGAAGAACAACGCTTAACAGCGAACTGTAACAGCACAAGAGCGCCGCCAGCAACAGAGAGCCGGAGAGCGGTTTGAGCAAGAGAGAGCGCGAGAGGGCGCGAGAGCGCGCGTAAAGTGCAAACCCAATGGCAAAGTTGTTGGGTCAAGAAAAATGACTAAAGCAGATAAATTTAGATGAATAAAAACTGATTTTCCATAGCAATGTTATGTTAATGCACAGGCTCTAATTGGTAAAGCAAACCAATTTGCGGCTCAATCCGCTACCTCGCCCCTCTTCTGCGGCCATGCCCTCGGCGAATAAGCATACACAACAGACAGATAACATTTATTTATCACATTTTCTTTTGCCTGGGCTGCCATGTTGCCATTAACGCTTAGATAACATATTGATAGCAGCTTTTTTTCTATTTGTTTTCTACACAATTTCAAGTTCAACTTTGTCCGCGGAGAGTGATCTCTGCAGTGTTGTGTAATGCTATGTTAAATGCATAACATTTGCCAATTGGCAGCATGCATGCTCCAATTGGGCATGCATCACCTGAGCTGCTGTGACGCGTCGCCTCGCCTCGACTCGTCTTGTGCTGCTCTTGACATGACTTAATGGTGCTTGCCTTACACTCGCCGCCGCTCTCTCGCTCACGTTCTCTTACTCTCTCGCGCTTCTCGCGTCTCGCGTCCCGCGTTTCATTCCTCGCACACACTTTAAAGTTCGTACTTACACACACACACACACAGCCACTGGCACATTGCAAGGGGCCCAAAACCGGCCGCTTACGTGTCGCGTTAGCGTAAGCGCACTTCATTTACGTAGCGTGCAGCGATAATTGCGTTTGATAGCGCTAGTGTCGTTCGACCCGTCAACGTCAACGTCGACGTCGACGTCGACGTCGCTGCCGACGTCTCTGCCGCCAACAACTACCGCAAAATGTGCCACGCCGGTTTTTCTTCAAACTGAGGTGTACTTTTTTGTATTATTTCCCAACCTTACTTTTTTGGTTTTTTTTTTTAGTTGAATTTTGTGTTTGCAATTAAGCAAGATTTGTGGGCTATTAACCGATTTTGATTCAGAGCAGGCCCCTATATCTCACTTACAAACACTTCTTATGGGGGCCTTTCGAGATAAATGATATGTGGGCTGCTCTACAGTAAATACTCGCTAGAGTGAACTGGTTTGGATTGCATTTTATTTTGTTAAATTTTCCAATTTTTTCTATAAATCCAATCTTCCTTATCAGAAGATAAAATATATAGAAGTTTTATTAAGAATGCCTTCATAAGTCTCTGTGTATTAAGAAAATTGGGAAATAAAATAGATTTTAGTATTAGAACTAAAAGTTAAAATAAGGTAGAAAAGAAGGGAAAATAGGAAACTTGTGAGTTGCAGACCGAAAATATAATCAAATTTAAATATCAAAAGAAAAGGGAATATAAGAAATTTTTCAGTTAAAGATTAAAAAGCTGAAGGTATTATATAAAGAGAATATGAATAAGATTTTAGTATCAAAATAAAATGGACTTTATATAAAAGTTATATATTTACGATATATATATTAAAAGATATATAGATTATTTATATATAATATTTTATAAAGAATATCAAAATGAAAAACTTCTATACTCTATATTCGATATATTCCAATTCAAATCCCATCGTAAATACTGAAACTAAAACTGAACATAATCAAACTTGAGATTTTTTCTTTAGATATTATATAGATAAAGCGATCAGTTTTCTTCAATTTCATACGATTTCTATCTAAGTAAAAAGTTAAAATAATAACAAATGCCAGTTAATGCTGGGCTATTGTTCTAGGCAGCTTTATCACTGGTGCGTGACGAACTGCCTCTGCATAAGTTAGTTTTTATACCCCAAAACCCTGGGCGAAGAGGGTATAAGGTTTCCGAGCGAATGCATGTAACAGGCTTGAGAATCAACTTAAGATATATATATATATAAATGTGTGTATATGTATATATGTATATATTCTTGATCAGAACGTCAAGATGCGTTGAACGAGTCATGTCTAGCGCGGAAACTATACAAGTATAAAGTCTTTATAATATAGCTAAAAGTTTAAACCTCTTTATACTTCAATTTGTCCTCACACACACTCATAAAATCGATAACGAACAATTAAAGTCTATATCAAAACTTATCAGAAACTTGATTTATACCTATTCGTACAGTAAAAACAACTGAAGAAGTCTTTACTTTTTAAATATCTTCCCTCAGTCTCCACAAAATGTACACAAAAGTAATTTTCAAATAGATCAGCTAGGGCAAGCTGAGCCCCAGAACTTTCAAAATGATCGGACAATAAGCACCGAAGGTCAACTAGAATTGATTTCTTGCACGGAAAGCATAATAGACTCTTCTTATACTAGACAAAGGAAAGCATACTTGATTCTTCTATAACTACATTAAGGTGAGAATCGTAGACTCTTCTTATACTGGATTAAGGGGAGAATAGTGGACTCTCCTTATACTGGACAAAGGGAAGCATACTAGATTCCTCTTATACTGGACTAACTAAACTCTTCTTATACTAGACTCTTCTTATACTAGACTCTTCTTATAATAGACTAACGGGAGAAAATTAGACTCTTCTCATAATAGACTTAGGGGATAATAGTAGACTCTTCTTATATACTAGATTCCTCTTATACTGGACAAAGGGAATTGACTAGACTCTTCTTATACTAGACTTCTTATATTCGACTCTTCTTATACTAGACTAATGGGAGAAACTTAGACTCTTCTCATACTAGACTTAGGGGAGAATAGTAGACTCTTCTTATACTAGACTTAGGGAAGTATACTAGATTCCTCTTATACTGGAAAAAGGGAATTACCTAGACTCTTCTTATACTAGACTCTTCTTATACTAGACTAACGAGAGAAACTTAGACTCTTCTCATACTAGACTTAGGGGAGAATAGTAGACTCTTCTTATACTAGACTTACGGAAGCATACTAGATTGCTCTTATACTGGACAAAGGGAATTAACTAGACTCTTCTCATACTAGACTTAGGGGACAATAGTAGACTCTTCTTATACTAGACACAGCCACAGCAAATGACAGCTTGGCGCTGGGTTTAAGGTATCTGGCAGTCGTGCACGCCCGACTAAACAACTCTGGTGCTTGGTCTTATGTGTGCACACCAACCATAACAATTGCATGAGTCAAAACCCTCCAGATATGTGCTCAACAAACCCGGGGCAAAAAGTAAATAAAGTAGCCAGAGAAAAAGCGTAGAGAGCAGAGACAGAGAGAAACATAAAGTGTGGAAGCAAATAGAGAGGCAAACAACGCGAGTTCAAGCATAGAAGGTATCTATTATCTGACAGTCTAGAAAGAATAAAAACAACTGCTCGATAAGCATTTTTTCTTTGCTGTGGACAAAAGTAAAAAACTGAAAAATAAGTTGGAAATCAAAAGAATCTATGGAAAGAAATATGAAATCGGTTGAAAAGACAACTCTTTAATCAATAATACTTTCTTTTTTCTAGTAACTATAAAATTAATTTAAAAATACTTTGAAGATAACTTAAGATTATCGAGAAAATGAGAATAATCTCGGCACGCCGAAGATTTAATACCCTTGCAGACAGGCAGACAGATTGCAAAATATGTTGAAAAACAGAATATGTTGCTGCACAAAAAACTCATTGCTCAAACGATTCTTCCAATAAAGCTATATATAATAAGACTTGGCTTAGTTAAAGGTCAAGATATGTTTGTCAAGAACAAAGTTTCTCATACAAGATCTTACTTTTCGACCGATTCTGCCCCTATAACTCTATGATAAAGTGATCCGATAATTATACGATTTTCCAGCTATGTAGGGCTTAAAGTGGAACTTATAAATGCCAAGTTTGGTCAAGATATCTTGATAAGCAAACAAGTTTTCCATATCAGAACCTATCCGCAAGAAACTACACTAAATAGTCTTAGAACTGAGAACTATATATATATGGCTATATCAGGTCGACTTTTGATGCTGATTAAGAATATATAAACTTTATCGGGTTGGATTTACCACCTTCTAGGCGTTACACATTTTGCGACAAGTTTTATTGAACGATCTTTGATACTAAGAAGTTGCTTTGTTCTCAACAATCAAATCAACTTTCCTCTCTTTTTCTTCTCTCTTCTCTTCTTTCTGCTTTTCCTTTGTGCTGGACTCAAAATAGGCACATACAATCGACAGCAATACCTTCAAAATGCTTTTAGGTTCAGTTCATATCTATTTGAATTTTCTGTTGATTTTTTGCTTAACAAAATGGTGGGAAACTTTTTGTATCTTCAAAATGCACTTGAAACTTTTTGAATGGCCTCTTAAGTGCTTTCGCATGACATTTGACCGGTAGCAAAAGATTTACACTTACAACTTTATTGAACACATCAGAAAACCAAAAACGTTGACAACATTTTGTGAAACATTTTGCAAAAAAACGACGTGAAGCAAACTATATGAAAGCCCAAAAGAATTCCGTTCAATTAGAACTAAGCTTGCTCAAGAATAATCGAAATAACAGCGTTTATTTTATGCGAAATCGATTATCGCTCCAATCGATTATAGAGAACGCTGAGTCGCTAAATCGATTATCGATAACTTTTTCGATTATTTAAATAGGGGCTTTTTGGCATTGCACAAATTGCAGTAAATTGTTCGAACGAGCTTTGAAAATTGATTTCATATATTTCCTTAGCTGGCTCGAGGTGCGAGGCTCAATTTTTTCAAAATAAAAACCAAAACAATTTTGTTTTAAAATATTTCTTTAATTAATCGAACCAGCCAAAATATGCATTGAAACTGACTCATTTTTATTTTGTGTTGCATTTAATTAAGATTACATTTTTTATACCCTGAACCCATTAAAAATGGGTATAAGGGTATATTGTATTTGTGTAAAATCCAAAATTTTAGAAGTAGGTGCTTCTAGTTCCCGCGCAGATCGAGTTTGTTTCCGATAATCGATAACTAACTCCGTTTCCAAACAATCGATAAAAATCGATATCGATATCCTGTTTTTTGAGCAATTTTGGTAAATAATAAGAACTAGAGTCGCCAAACTTGACATATAGCTTCTAAAATAGAATATATATATGGATTTGATGTTGGAATAAGAGGGTTCAGGGTATCCCCTAGTTGGGAGCTCCCGACTAGAACCTCTTACGTGTTTTTTCTATGAAATGTGCTTGTTTTTGTGCTTGGCTGTCTTATAAGAAAAATGCATCCTCTAGCCCTTATGCTTCCTGCATTTCCCCTACAACAAAAAACCCCGCTATTAACTCAACATCTTAACGAGCATTTATTTATTTTATTTTTTTCAATATTTCCATATTCATCTTGCATATATTATAAGTAAACCTTTTTGAATTTGTATTAATTTTTGCATTTTTGTCTTTTTTCTCTTTCTCGTTTTGTATGGCACCGAAAATATTTGAAAAATGAAAACCCCTTCGCAATCCACAAAAAAAAAAAACTAACAACAAATTCAATTAAAACAACAATTAAGTGTGCAATTCAGGAAAAATTCCAAAAAATTCCAAAAATAAATATTAAAAAAATCGATAGAAATATATAAATGTAACAACAAAAGCGACTCGATATGAGCGCCAACAGTGGCTGCCAAAACAACAACAACTAATACAACAACAACAACAACAAAATGTGTCACACAAGTTGAAAGTGCAAAATTAAAAATTTGTTTAAAAATAACGAAATCTAGCCAAAAAATTAAAAAAAAAAAAAATAAATAAATAAAAATAATTAAGCATTTTTTTTGTTATTTTATTCCCAGTTGCCTGGCAATTACAAATTTGCAACACCAAAATAAAAAGAAAAAAATAAGAGAAATCTTTATTGTTTTTAGCCAAAAAGCATCTTCAGCCTGCACACATATCGTGTTTGTGTTTGTGTGCATCTGTGTATATGTGTGCGTGCGTGTGTATTTCCCCCCCTCTGTGCAATCCATCCATTAATCTACACATATATATATAAATGAATATATATATATATATATATATATATACGTAACCTGATCTAAATGACAACAACTTATTAATGCGACAATTTTGCATGTGGCACTTGTGCAAAATAAATCAAATCAAATATCAAAACAATCGATAACATAATTGTTGAAATTAAATAACTATCGATAACAACCAATAACTAACAATCGACTCGATACAAAATGGCGGACATCATGCGTCCGCCGTTTAGCGACATTAAGCGGCCCGACGAAATTGTCAGAATGACGACCGCCGACAATCTCAAATTTGCCGTCCTCATCGGCCTCATCGAGGTCGGCCAGGTGACCAATCGTGAGGTGGTCAACACAGTTTTACATTTGGTAAGTGAAGCAAATTGCATTTAAATATAACAATATGCTAACTATATGTTATCGATAACAATATGTTATCGATAACACTTTGATAAAGTCAATTTATTAATCAAAAACCTTTAAGAATTATTTATCAACTTCAAATTGCATTTATATTTTTCAATCAGTTATCGATAACTTATAGCAATTATTATAAGTCATCGATAACATATTAAATCAGTGAACAATAAAGTTATTCATCACAATAGCAATAGAAATAACAATTCATCACCTTGCCGACCTAAAAGGCAACCTTTTCCATAGCCACGTGGCAACTCTGGAGATTTCGCACTTGTCGATAACAAATATCGATAGTGCTTCCTATGTATATATGTGCTGATTCCACTAAGCTTTGACTCTGCCCTCAGTGTGGACGAGGAACAAAAATTGAATATATTATTAATATGCCAATTGTATTGGTATTATTAAAATGGTTGTCATTAGAGACATCCATACTGTATCTATTTGACCATAAAGCCAATTTTAAAATTAGTTTTCATATGGCTGCAGCTGGTAAAATGTTTTTCGTCTAGCTCATTTCGTTAATTGTTATTTGACACTTGCCTTAAAAGTAAACATTAGGAAACTTGGTCAGAAGTACACCTGCCCATAGATGGCGCCACTCGAACAAGAAACGAGAAACGAGCAAAGCAAACTTGTAACAAAAATGTGCTTTTGTACCCTATAGTCAGGGAAAATTGTAGGGTGTAAAGATTTTATGTGAATGTATGTAACAGGCATATGTGTATGTATATGCATACATATATTCATATTTGAGGATTTACTTTAGGTAATAGATATTTGCCAGATTACCCAACACTGCTCTAGCTGTGTTAGCTATGGTATTGTAAGGCCACGCTGACTTCCTTCGATCTTTTTATATCAGTATATAGAGTGTTGGCATCAATGAGTCTTGGCAAATGCGAGATCTGCTCAGAAACAGGTGCTTAAAATCGATATTTATCGATATGTATATATATGTTTATCTATATGTCCAACTCTGAGATCTATTGGAATAAGGTGCACATCGATTTTGTACATTGTTTCTTGTATACTAAACGCTGTTCAAGTTCCAAACTATCGCCAGCTATCGAAATCGATAAATATCGATATTAAATACTGGTTTCTGAAGCATATCTCGCAGTTGTCAAAAGCTATTGTTGCCAACTTTGGCATGAGTGTGTGTCTATATTTTCTGTATGTGAATGTGGAACTCTTGTATGCTTGTTGAATCCAAACGCTAGCTACAGGGTATCTCTTAGTCGGTCAGCCTAGCTCTCTAATTTGCCTGTTCCTTACGGCTCCTGCCACGCGCAAATCTGTGCAGCCAAAAATCTCTTGCACAAGACAGCGCAATTTCATTAGACAGCCTGACAAAATGGCGTCTAAATGCTGCACACACACACACACGCGCACACCAGCACCCTCCAGCACACACACCCACACACACACACATACACAATCAGGCAAATAGACGCCGCTTTCATTAGCACAAAATTAACATTTTGTGAAAGCCGCAGAGCGAAACATCTTCATGCTCGCAGCGAGGGGGCGGTGACATTTGCTTAGCTCACCTCTCCCACCTGGCCTAGGGTGTGTGTGTGTGTGTGTGTGTTGTGCCTGGCAGTGTGATTAGATCAAAGGCCAGCATTCGGCTTCATTTCTACCTTCGTAGACAATATGCCTGCATACATATTGTATTATTACACGACATTATTATTATTATTAGAGAAGATTTTCAAATTTACATTTTTTGGCACAAGTGAGCGTTGCTTGTGTGTGCGTGTGTATGTGTGTGGGTGTGTGTGTGTGTGTGTGTGTGTGTGCCGCTTAATGAAAACATGACACCGTCGCTCATCATTACGAGATTCTGTCGAGATTCGCAGCGTGAGCAAAAAAAAAAAAAATTACTGACGGCTTGACAGGTGGGCGGTGTGTGTGTGTGTGTGTAGGTGTGTGTGTATATCAAGAAATTGAAAAGAAATTGAATTGAAGTTCTTCGACGTCGACGTTGTCGTAGCTGTTGACGCTGTCTATTGATAAGATAAGCAACTGGGACCGGCGAAAAGATAGACAGCGTGTGACAGGGGAACAGCGACAGGGAGAAAGCGAGTAGGAGGGACAGCAAGAGAAAGAGATGGAGATGGAGAGCGGTAGAGAGAACAAGCGAGATATAGCCTTGCTAAATTATTAACACAAAAAAAAACCGGGCGCTCTCTTTTTGGCCAGATTATACGGCTCGGCAGTCTGATAAGCGGCACAGAAAATAAAATAATGAAAATCAAATAAAAATCAAAAAATGGAAATAGAATGCGTTGACGTGTTCAAATGCCGTCCAAGCACCAAGAGAAAAAATACAATTTTAAAGCGATAATAAATATAATGCTGATAATATAAGAAAGATGCGCACACATTACAAATAGGCACAAAAGTCCCTAATATGTTGATCTTAAAGCAAAGCATCTTTAGATAAATGCACATTAATTAGAGGTGTCCTCTTCAAGTCCTCTGCCCATTCTAGCCTGAACTTCACATTTGAAAACAGATTTTGTGTTTTCAGTTGGGAGACGACATTTGGATTTCCACGAAGTTAGCAGCTCAATACAATCCTTGACACGCATTGGGTTTTTCCACAACACGTATTTAATAAATTGCAGCAAAAAAACTTGAATAGAAAAGTTTTCCGCCAATTTTCCACAGCTGCGGGTGAAAGTTGAGATGAGCCTACAGACGAACGAGTAAGAGTGCTCTAGATGGGAGTGCATGACTAGGGCATACCCAGCAGATGAAAAAGATGCCTTCAAATTGTCTCAATACGGCTCAAAATAAAAGAAATTCCATAAACCGAAATACCCAAAAATGAGTCCAGTGCAATTGGAACATATCGAACATATGGTAAATATGTGATACCGTATCAGAGTTCTTCTACACACTTGATAGCAAAATGTTGGCACAATGTTTCGATCATTTTACGCATTATAAATATGGCTTACTAGCTGGATATTTCCCCACCACCCGCACCCCCCCGCCCGCCGATGCCTTATCGCCAATTGCCGTTTTTAATGGATGGTGCCCAAAGATTCGACTGTTTGCCGCAGGTGCGTCTATCGCCCAGATAGTGTTAAATATAATCAATATACTTTATGATAGATGCCATTGGGGCGTTACTTTTCCCATCATGGCCATTATAGTGGTGCGTACAAAATCGATGATATTATCGCTGCCAAGCTTGATTACAATATTCTATTAGAGAAAGCTATTAAATATGATACGAGTTGCAGAGAAGCCTTTCGCTAGAAGCCTCAAACAAAATGAAGGCGAAACCTGGGCAAAATGTGTGAAAATTTGCAAATTAAAAAAAAAAAAATAGATTTACAAATGAAAAGGAGTTTAACAATGACATAGATAAGCGTTGAACTAGCAATGGGGAAGTCGCCGGCTCAAACTTAGCAACAATTTTCAATTTTCATTTGTTTTATTTTTCATAAACAACAAAAGTATTTAAAAAAAAAAGAAAATCAATAAGAAATTTAGGGATCGAAGCGCCGCAATGTATCGGAAATGTTAGACTGATTCCCGATTTCTATACATTTCGCTGTTCCACCTAAATATTGCAAAGTAATGTTAGCGAAAGAACTTGAAATAGCTCGTAAATAAGTTGCTTTTATGGGTCTTTGTATAAACACGCATAGATAATATCTACATACACGTATTTTGAGTCCATTTTGGGTGAAAGGATGCATTCAAAACTCGAAATGCAGTCATTAAAATTATATATGTCTATATAGATGTCTATCAAAGTGCGTGTGTGTGTGTGTACGAGTGTGTTTGTTTATTTTTCTTGTGTTGTAATAGCAAAAATAAACAAACAGCTCGAGTGAGCGAGAGAGGGGGGAGAGAGAGAGCCTGGAACCGGATCCATTGCTGAGGCAAACAAATTGAAAATTTTCGGGCGCCTGTTGTTGACTTCATTTTGCAATTGGTTTTGTTTTATGTTCTTATTGTTGTTGTTGCTGTTGTCGATTTGCATTAAGCGTTTATTTTTAGTAGGCAACATTTTTAGCTAACGACAGAAACGGAAGGCAAATCGATTAAAGGCTTTGGCAGCCCCTCCCCCAAACCCCACTGGATGGTGCCCCAGGCACGTGACACGGCTTTTACACTGAAAGCGGGCTGGTGGAGTGGAGGAGAGGCGGGGCAGGGGCGTCCGGAAGTGCTTAGCGCTAACCCAGCAAGGTTAAGGGTGGGCGCCAATACCAAATGGGCCAAGAGTACCACATGCGCCACATGGCAAATGACCATAATTGAGCTGTATAACAAGGCCCAATGACCGATTAAGCGGCCAATGCGAACTTTTCAGCTGGCCCCAGAGAGCGAGACAGACACAGAGAGCAAGAGAGAGAGAGAGAGAGGGAGAGGTGATGGAGGAAGGTAGTGAGGGTGAGGGTGAGTAAGCTATGCTCTAAAAGCCGACTGAGTGTGGGGGCCATGAATCAATCAACAGCAAATGCGATGCGAGGAGCTGGAGTAGGAATCAATTTGCATTAAGAGAAAAAGCAATGGAAATGGCAAAGACAGAAAGAAGCAAGCAGCACTCTAGATAAGCACACAGAACGGGAGAGAGAGAGAGAGGGAGCGAGAGAGCGGGAGAGAGGGAGAGGGCAAACACCAGCAGAAACAAAGAAAAACCAGCAAATGAGTTATATCTTTAGCAGACCGAAGCATAAATGCTCTTCAGCAGAATCAGGTAGCTATATTTTGAAAAACTGACAAGTTTACCATACAAATTCCCATTTTTTGAGCAACATTTTCTGTAAAATAACCGGCGACTATCCCATTGCTAGTTCAATGCACAGACGTTTCAGCACGCAAGCTGATGACGTCACGTTTTAAGCACTTATTTCTTTGCCTAGGTCATTTTTTATATCGATAAACATAAGAGCTTTTCTTAGCAGAGCTTCAGCTTTGAT